CTGTACAGGGTCGCTATGGGTCGGAACCGACTCGACGGCACTTAACAACAACAACAACAATCCACTTACTGCAGCCACTGAGGCAGGGTCTGAAAGGCATTTTGTGATGAGAGAACTGTGGTAATGGAAGCAAGCTCTGTCTCTCTTCACTTTAAGTCTTGCATTCCTTCCCGTGCCTCCTGCTACCTTCATCTTTGCTCTGCCAACCTCCCTCTTGTACATTGCCTTCCCCATCGCCCATGTTAACATGGAAACTCACAGAATTTTTTAAGGATTTTGCACAGAGTCCTCTTGGTAATCGATTCAGATTAAAAATTCAAGCAGATGCAAATTTACAGTCACCCCTCCCCCTCCCCAGCTGTGTCAGACTCCCAGGCAGCGCCAAGCTCCAGCTGCCTGGAGTTGTCCTGAGGAAACATCTCTGGCCATCTCCTCACTTCTCAGCTTGGGAGTTCAGCCAGTGGCCCAGAAGACCTTCTGTGCTGGGAAGTGAGCAAGATGTTGGAGAAGGGATTCCTACTGGAGAACCAAAGCACAGTCTCTTTGAAGGTCAGTTTGGGGACACTGAGGCAAGAGCTGTTTCTTGGTCACAGGTAGCCTAGCTGGAGGTAGAACCAGACATCCAAGTAGCTCTGTGGCCCAGTGGCTTGAAGGGCTTATCTGCTGAACAGAGAACCTGGATTACGGGTCTGAGCTCTGCCGCTTGCTAAGTCTTTCTTAGACAACTGATTTTATTTCTGACACTGGTTTTCTTAAAATGGAGAGGGTGAAAGTGTTAGCAATTGTCTCCCGGGGCTGTTGTGGGATTGTACTCCACCTAACACATGCAGTCCATCAACACTGGGTATTATTACTACATTCCCTTCAGGTTTATTTCTTCCATTGGTCCTTTCTTTGGCATTCTGGAGACCAGAGCTCTACTGTATTCTTCAGCCCTCCCCAAGTGTCCTCCATTGTCCCTTCTTAAGAGCTGGAGATAGATACTTGGCATCAGTCTCTGGTAGTGTAGCTTCTCCCACCAAGCAATTCACTAAAAACAGGTCACTGAAATAGTGAAGTGTGGACAGAAGGGTCTGTAGGTGAATGTAAGTGTTGATGAAACTTGGAAAATTCTGCTCTTAAACAAGAATGAATGAAATGACGCTTAGTAGCTTATTCAAATCCTAGGACCAACTGAGGATTTTTCAAGCTTGCCCCATCTATGTGCCTTATCTCTCCCTACCCCCAAAAAAGGCCCAGAGGAGCCCCAAAGACCTTGAGCTTACCCTAGGCAAACTCTGAGGCATATGGGACCATCTTCCTTTGTTACTTATCTCGAGGCTCCAAAAGGTTTTCATTCTTGAAGGAGAACTAGGGCTCTCAGACCCACCAATTATCTTGACTTGCTCTCCAGAACCACTTCCCCCAGGGTGTAGGGGGATTTGTGAAAAGTATTAGATCATATTCTAGGATCTCTAGTGCACCCAAAACCCAACAAACAGATGCTCACTGCCATCAAATCAGTTTCAAGTCATGGCAACTCTTCAGGACAAAGTAAACCTGCTCCACAGGGTTTCCGGACAAGAATCCCTGAATAGGCCTAACCCCTTCCAACAACATTCAGTCTATATTAGAAGACTGGGTTGGTAAACTAACCAGAGTAGCGTGCCTATCCAAGCAAAAATAAAGTTAGAAACTCTAACTTACACAAAACACTATCGCCAATAAAAGTGGAAGGAATTTTGTTCTCTCACATAAGGACTTTGTAGGTGTGCTATTGTGAATGCAAAAGCTTCATTTGTTTTCCATACGACTCATGACTTTTTTAAATTGTGAATTAAGTGAAGGTTTACAGAGCACAGCATTGGTTTTACATTCAATAAAAACATACACTTCATTTCACTACAATGATTACAATCCCCTCCAAGTACTATCAGTTCACAGTATTTACCTCTGTTCGCTTTAACTCTTGCATTCCTCCCTGTGTCTTCCGCTACCTTCATCTTTCCTCTGCCAGCCTCCCTGTTGTATATTGCCTGCCCCGTCACCCATGTTAACAAAATCCTTCTTAAGGATTTTGCATGCACTCTACTAGGCAGCGCTATAGGCTCTTAGCTCCCTTCCTGCTTGGCAGAATATAGCCCAAGATCTACTCACAGAATATTTATTGTAGCCTTCGACATACTCTTAAACATCCACATTACGCACATGCTTACCCAAATTGTTCCTGATTCCTTCACTGAGAATTGACAATTCATAAGAACCTATTGTTTGACCCCCTTCTATAAATAATTAGTTTTTCTGCTTACGTCTAAGTTCATGAACTAGCTAATAATTAAGTACTTTCACTTCTATTCATGGCTTAGTTCATGAACCAGCAAATAATTTTAGTACTTGCAGGAAAGTGTGTTTTTCTTGTGTGTTTTGCAACAAACAAGATTCATAGGCTCTGCATTGGAAGGGACCTAGGAGGTCCTACGGAGGTGAAGGTCCACCCTCTGCTTGCATACTTCCTGTGACAAGACATTTGGTGTTTCTCAAAAGAGTAGTAGCCTATGACGGAGTAGACAGCAAGCTGTCCTTCCATGCGTCCATCCAACCCTCATTGATTCATTACATATTCACTGGTTATTGTCCAACCAAACCCACTGCCACAGAGTCAATTTTGGCTCACAGTGACCCCCCCAGGATAGAACAGCTCTGCTCCGTATGACTGCACATATTTCCAGGAGCAGACAGCCTCCTTTTCCTGCAGACCTGTTGGTAGGTTTGAACCACTGACTTCATGTTTAGCATCCTAATCCACTAAATTACCGTGATGGTGGTGGTTATAAGCCATGAAGTTGGTTCCAACTCACAGCGACCCTATATAGGGTTTCCAAGGCTGTAAATCTTTACTGGAGCAGAAAGCCTCATCTTTCTTCCTTAGAGTGGCTGGTAGATTCGAACTGCTGACCT